ATACCTGTCTTGCTATGGAAACACCGTGGTGATTTACATCAGCTTAAGAAGCTCTGCCTCTGCAAGTTCTTTGCTTTTTTTAAGCAGCAATATGAAAATTTTCTGTTTTTTTTTTTTTTTTTTTTTTTTTTTTTTTTTAAATAGGGAATGCTCCTGGTACTCAGTACGGTGCTTCAGATGTTGCCCTTCCTTCCTATTTCTGAGTAGTCTGCTGGGGGCAGCTGACTTCAGCTGTGAAATGTAAATGGATTTTGTGCATTCAATTCAATTTTGGTTGCAAACAATCAAAATTAGGAAGAATTATGAAGGGGTCCTTAATTCCTTCTTCTCAGGAGACCCACATGAGTAAGATAAAGGAGTATGTGTGTCTGGGAGAGAGAGAACATATTACTCCTCTAGTCCCATCTGTTTCTGCCCCAAATTTGTGGACAACTGCTACGTGCCCCCTCTGTGACTGCTTTCAGGAGGCATAAGCAGGAGGTAGGGAAAAAGAATGACTCAGAGAATGGACTGTGTGGCACAGGGTGGAGAGTTTACACAGTTTGTGTGATACTGTGGGCAAGTGGGGTTGCTGGAGCGTGAAGCAGGACAGGCCAGGAGCACCATGTCATCACAGACCCCATCAGACACACTTCTGCCCTGTATAAGATATGCACTGTAACTCAGTGGGCCATGCTAAGACTGATTCATTGTTAATTTACCTTTCCTCTGTCTCATTGCCCATATAACATGCAGTTTTAAGACATACACGGGCTAATTAGAAGATATTTTCTGGAAGGGAGTCACAGCTGCATGATGTGAAACTCCTGCAATCAGTGAAAAAACGTAAGGGGCTTGTTTACACACTTCAGATGTTCACCTTCAGCTACGCTGCCACGAATGGCTGAACTTGTGGTATTCTTTTCTTCTTTCATAGTAAGTATTTCTCCAAGAACATGTAATGCTGACTGTAATACTACTCATTAGGCTGCTCTTGAAGTATGGCTTGTGTGCACAAAGGCTTGACCATTTTTTCTAACAGTAGCTGTTGTTTGAATAAAACATGTTGTTGCACATCCCCTGCAAAGTTTGTTTCTTGTCCTTAATATTTTGTCCCAGGGATATTGCCAATGTGATTTCTAGAGCTCCTTCAGGTTTCCATAGGTTTTCACACCCTTAGATGAGGAATGATTTATTCTCCACTGCCTCGAATCTATCATTGGTTTTGGTGCATGTTCCCTTCCTCCCTTACAATTCTTAAATGATTTCAAGAATGTTTTAGGGAGATCTTAGCTTTTTACTTCTAAGTCATTCATTATCAGCAATTTATCACCTTACAGTATTTTTTTCCTACTTTCAGATGTGAATAAAACACAAATAACAAGTATTATTTTAAGTGTACACTAGACTCATATTACAGTAAAAAATGGATAGAATTACTTATGGCATATATTCATTATTGCATGCTATATAATGTTAGTGCATGCAATAATATATGTACACTGTGCAGTTGACTGTGTTCTGTGCTGCACATGGGACTTGCAATCTAACAAAACTAGAAAAGCAGCTTCAATGACCTGTATGAAAACCATATTTTCAACTTAATTTTTCCTTTTTCATGGTTGCATTTTTGAAATTGAGATCCTAGAAAGCCATGAAGAAGTCTTCAGCATGAAAGGTGACCTTTTTCAAGATACCAGATCCTGTGTGGTATGTATTTTATCCATGGATAAATGGCTTATGCATTTATTAGCACCTTTAGATTCAGAGCTTGCCCACTTGGTGCTAACAGAGGAATATTTTTCACTGCTGATGTCAGTGTGTGCTCTAGCACATTCTAGAAGATTCCAGAAAACCTGTGAAGAAAATGTATCATAGGTTTAAGACACATGAGCCTTAAATTGTTTGGAAAAGCGTTAGATAAAGTTTGAGAAGGGCAGGTTTACACATTACAAATATTGACTAGATAAAGGACAAGTATCAGCAAATAAGACTTGATAAAGTCAATTGAACAGTTCCTATTATGTGTAGATTAAGTGCTGCCTTCCCAGTTTAAAGGGTTTTATTTTGCACCTACTGTCTTAAAGAAGGTTCCTGTGATCCTCTGGGATACTCAGAGAGGAATTCAGTTGCAGCAGGGAAAAGGTAATTTTCAGGCTGCCACAGGAAAGCCAACTCTTGTGGGACAGGGATTAGGAACAATGGATACAGGAAATCTCCACAAACGGATCAGAAACTGGCCTGGAAATCTGAAGGGCCATATCAAACTTCTTTTACTTGAATTACCAAGTCTGTTAGGAAGTAATTGCAGTATGAAGATGGAGACTCCACTAAGGCTGGTGCAAAACTAAGCTCCGAAACAGATAAGTTGAGTAGCTGCGTGAGTCCTTAAAGCTATTTAAGAAACAGAAGGTGGATCTTAATATCCATATTTAAGGATTAATCATCTGCAGCTGGTGCGAAACATTCACAAGGGAGCATAAAAGTAAGCCTTCAGGCCTCCTGGTAGGGAGATAATTGGGTGGTTATGACATTATAGTGACAGCAGTGAAGTTTCATACTCTTCAGGGCCTCGGTAGATGGCATGGCCATCCCAGCAGGACAGTCCTGTGCATGTTGTGCAGGGGGTTTTGCTGCTTCCAGGGTATTAACTGTAACTGTGCATCCTTCACAGATATGTTTTCATTGAGACAGTTTCCAAGAGAGTAGCTCATTTTTTGCCTAGCAATAGCAGTCAGAAGATAATTGCTGCTTAGTAAACAGCAGAACACAATTTAGCTGACTGCCTAAAGATAAAAATAAAGCAAACCCGTCAAGAAACTCAGTAGTCCAGTATTTCCATAAAATACGAATATGGGCAGGAAAGTAGGTGCTGATACCACTGTGATCACAAGGAGAGAAGCCACAGTTAGCACAGAGAGAGGTGAACAGCAACTATAAACTTTCTCAGGCCTGGTGTTACCCTGATTTACACCATCTGAGAGCCTGGCCCATGGCATATAACTGTAGTGGTTGCTGCTAGTTCTGTGAATGAAGTTGCAATTCAGTTCAAGGTGACCAGGAAAAACTTATCAATGTCAATAAAACAAATTGTCATAGAAATCAATGTAATTTTAGAAGTAACTGAACTGTTGTGCAAATCTATCTATCTTCTTGTTCTCTTTCTATTACCTTTGTGTTGTGAGGAAATCAGCTCTGGGAATTCTGTTTTGGTTCATCTTGACATTTTCATCCTGACCATTTAGTTGTTTTATACCCTGCACCAGAAGTACATAGTGTTCATGGGCACTTTTATTCTTCCTGGGGTTATTATATGGTGTGTGTAGAGGAGTATAAATATATTTTGGCTTGGATTGGTGTACAGTTCAGAGGGTAAAAAACTGTCTGGATGACCGGGCCAAAGAGTGATGGGGAATGGAGTTACATCCAGCTGGGCACCAGTGGGGTTCCCCAGGGCTCAGTCTGTTTAATACCTTTATCAATGACCTGGAAAAGAGGATTGAGTCAACCCTCAGTCAGTTTACAACTGACCCCAGAGGGATCTGGACAGGATGGAATGATGGACTGAGGACAAGGGTATGAAGTCCAACAGGGCCAAGTGCCGGGTCCTGCCCTTGGGTTACAGCAACCTCAGGCAAATGCTCCAGGCTTGGGCAAGAGTGTCTGGAAAGCTGATCTGTCCAGTCCTGTCAAATGTGGCAGTGACTGTGAAACAAAGGTTCCAAAAGTAACTGGGGGCAGAGGGAGAAGACACACAGGCAGCAAGCATGGTTACACAAGCTTAAAAATGAGGCTGAAAACAGTCTGCTGCTACAACACTGTATGACCAGTTAACATCCTAGAGCTGTGTTCTACACAGTGAAGAGATCCTAGAGAAAGAAAAGAACGAGATCCAAAAGGAGTCACAAAACCTCTCTGAATTACTAATGGGCTAAGGCAAAAATTATCTAATGCCTTGTGATGGTTTCAGTCTAGGCCTTCCTGGAAACCAGCTTGTAACCAGGAAGGAACTAGGAAGGTGACCAAGGAAGTATTCCATGCTATTCCTTTACGTAACCTAGGGTATAAATAAGGCATTGATAAGATAGTTCGCTCTCTTCCTTTCCGGCGAGGTTCGAGAACGGTGGGTCCCTGTTTCGGTCGGGCTTATCTGGAGCCGAGGCCTACAGTGACTGCTGTTATCTGCCACCCGTGAGGGGAGAGCCAAGGGCCGTGTCTAGCCATCCTGCCTGTTCGAAGGGAAGTGGTGAGATTTTTGCTAATTTGCCTTCGGCTGGTTGTTTGACTTGTGCGGTCCTTGCCCCTTTTTGTCCTTCTCCCTTCCCTTCCCTCCTTCCCCCCTTCCCCCCCCCCTCGGTGTGTGGTATTCTCCTTTTGTGTATCTGTCTCATATGTAAAACATATATATATATATATATATTTTTGCTATAGCTTTGGCTGCTTGTTTCTTTCTTTTCCCTCTCTGGGAGGCGGGTCCTCGTTGTCGAGTTTCGGGGGACTTGGCGGGAAGCCAGCACGAAACTTGCACATGCCTGGAGAGCTTCTCTCTTCCTCCCTCTTCACATCTTGTTTTGGTTTTGCTCTTTTATCTGAGCAGCAGTTTTGAGAAAAATGAGTGTTTAAAAAATCATGTTATCTAAAAAAACAATTAATATTGCAGGAACACGGAACATAGAGACAGTAGGCTCTAAACCTCAAATTAATAAATTACCGAGTAATAAAAGTAGAGTTTTGTTGAAAAAACCCAGGTACCTGATATGTAGGTGGGCTGTACCAGAATATGATAGTTTGTTGGCTCTCCCTGCTCACAAACCATGTGTTCCAAGTAGAAAAAAAAAAAAAAAGAATTTTTTTTTCCTGGATGACTTTTGACAGTCATTCTGACAATAGAGCATGACTTGTACCAACCACCTTTGGGGTGAAAAAATGTGCTAAATATACTAGGAAAATACAATTTTCTGTGTTACTTGCACACAGTGTTGGTAAAAAAACACTGCAGAAATTTTACCCTTAACTGCACATAGTGTCAGGGTCCTGAGGCACTAAAAGGTCTTTATTTAGGAGTTGCTAATACGATTTGCTTCCTCCATTGATCTTGAACTCTTCTTGTTGCTGTGAACTTGCGTGACCATGTGGACTCTTGGCTGGGCCTGGCCACCATCTCCAGGTTTGCCTTGTGGTGAGATGGGCTTTGGCTGATAAAGCCCTGTGGGGTCCCCTGTGGCTCCCTGTCCTGAAGACTGCCCTGCTGTGCCACCATCCTGCAGGAGAGTAGCCCATAGTGAACTCACTAGGTTTGCTCTAGGGAACATTCTCATTCCTCTTCTCTTTCCTTTGGCTTCCATGGTGCCAAAGGAATATCCTTCCAGGGTATTGCACTATGGGAAACACTTAGAACTTGACCACGTGAACTAATACCTTTGGTTGTTGCAGTTATAAACTCTAAATGAAGATTCGACACCTTGGTTGGAGATGTAGTATCTTGCACAGAGTGGATTGTGGTTGTTAGATTGACAAAATATAGTTAAACTATTTTTAATTGTCATCTTTCAATTCCATTTAGGTAGTTTCAAAATGCTTATCCCATATGGCAACAGCTCTTTTTCAGCATAATGTGACATGGAATTGTAAATATTTTGGCTTGACCCGAGAGCTAAGGATGAGAATTGTATATTAGAGGTCGAAAGTCTAAGTTCTGGGACTGATTAGCTGCTGATCTGCTTCCTAGAGGAAGATGTGACAGTCGTGGGACACTGTCTGCCTCTGTCTTTTCATAGAATCATAGGGAATCATTTCGTTTGGAATGGAGCTTAAAGATCATCCAGTTCTGAACCCCCTGCCATGGGCAGGGACAACTTTAAATAGACCAGGTTGCTCAGAGTCCCATCCAACCAGGCCTTGAACACTTCCAGGGATGGTACATCCACAACTTCTCTGGGCAACCTGTTCCAGTGCATCACCACCCTCGTAGTAAAGAATTTCTTCCCTATATCTAACCTAAATTACTCCTATTTCTGTTTGAACCCATTACTCCATGTCCTATCACTACAGTGCCTGTTTCCTTTTATCTGTTGTTGTCCTCTAGTTGTTGCTTATCTTCAGTTGCATGTTCAGGAAGGACTGCTTTTCCACTTTGAAATGTCCAGGGCACACATGTGGTCTGGAGACACAGAGAACCAGGTTTTCTTCCCAGAATTGGGTAGGCCACATAGCATATCTGGATATGTTGATGCTTGTGGCTTCTTTTGCCAGACAGAAATTACAGTGGGGGTGTTGTTAAAGGAGGAATGTAATGGGTAGGTCTTGCTTTAAAACCTGTGGTGAGAGAGCTGTTTAAAAGGTGCTGCACAGGCAGCCTACAGACCCTGCAAGGCATTGTGACATCTACTACATTTGTTTCCATTGCCATGCTCTACTTAAACACATACAAAAGAACAGTCAAGCTGGGAATGACTCTCACAGTTGCTGAGGCAGGACTCTGTAATGGCAGGGTTAGCAATGCCTGCAGTTACATAGCCTGTCTAGAAGCTGGTCCCTTTCTTCTTTTAGTTCACCTCAGGTTTTCAATTTCCCACTGAATTTAACAGGCTCCCTTTCTTAGAATTTTTAAGATCTGACCTTAAAATGACTTATGTTATTCCTATAGTTCACTGACTTGCAAGTTGATGTGGTTGCTATGGTTTTATGCAAAGGGCAGGGTGATCTTATTGCTATCTCTTTTAAAGTGATCAGCAGTACTTGATCTGTTCTACACTTACAATATGAATATTTAGAAACGGCTGGAAAAAGGCACAAAAGTATAAGCATGCAGAACAAACTGACAGAGCAGTCCCACCATGTCCTTCAATACAGCTGAGCAGTCTGCAGATAATTCAAGCCTTTACAGAGTGTCTCCTGCCTTGAACAAAGTGATTGCAAGGGGTTATGATGTAGTTGCCTAGTCCTGCTGGCCCCAGGATGCCGCTGACCTTCTTGCCCACCTGGGCCCATTGCTGGCTCTTGTTCAGCTGCTGACAACCAGCACCGCCAGATCCTTTTCCAGACACTCTTGCCCAAGCTTGGAGCTTTTGCCTGGGGTTGTTGTGACCCAAGTGCAGGACCTGGCACTTGGCCTTATTGAACCTCTTACCATCTTCCCCAACCCATCAATCCAGCCTGTCCAGATCTCTCTACAGAGCCTCCCTCCAGCAGATCAGCATTCCTGCTCAACTTGGTGTCATCTGTGATTTACTGAGGGTGCCCTTGATCCCCTTTTCCAGATCATTGATAAAGATATCAAACAGAACTGGCCCAAGTCCTGAGCTGGAGGACCCCACTCATGACTGGCTGACAGCTGGATGTAACTCCATTCCCCAGCGCTCTCTAAACCCATCCATCCATCCATCCATCCAATTTTACCCCAGCTGGACACTGTAGTGGATCTGCCAGTGAGACAACCTCGTGGTCATGAGGAACATCTGCCCGAAAACCTCTTCTCCCTCCTGACTAGCCCAACAGGAGCCAGATCCCTGCTTCCTACACAGCCTCTGCACCTGCTCCCAGTTGTGATGCCCCCTTTCCAGGAGGCATAGGAGGGATTTACCCTTTGTAAATATGTTAATAAAACTGTTTGTTTGTGTTAAGAAATCCCATGTCTCTGGGTGTCTGGGCAAGACTGTGTTGTGGGTTGGTACCCCTTGGCTTCATCTCCCCTCTGTAACAGAGAGATGAAGTTTGCACTGCGATTTACATTTGCAGTGGTACACTCAGACACTTTAACACCTCCCTGTCTTTTCTCTTCCTGGTGTTCTTGACATCTCGTCCTCCCTACATCTTTCCCCATGTCTTGGAACACCTCTCAAGTTGCTTCAAAAGATGCTGCTGAAATCAGTAGTTCCATCATGGGGTCTTGCTGCTTCTCCTTGGGCTGTTCCTTTAAGAAGTGTGGTCCCATCAAGTGAACCCCAAAGCTCTGCCAAGGCTATCACATTACCTATTTCTGACCACAGCTGGAGGCTCAGTCACCCCTGAACACAGTTTGACGGCTGCTGGGAGATGGCCGTGTATACACAGACCTCCACAGACCTCCTGATTTTTTCCTGCACTCCTCCTCCAAAGTGGGAGTGTTGCCTATATCTCCCAGGCAGCTGAGAAGGTCACTCTTGGTACAAGCAAATCTGTGTCTGTGGCCCAGGTGTCCAGGCTTGGCAGCGCTGGAGCTGCCGGGGAGGCCTGTGTGAGAAGATGCAAAATGCTGCCTGGCAGAGTGAAGAGTGAGGAAAAGAAGTGTGAGGAAGGAACAGCTCTGCAACCAACAATATGAGAGGAGGAGAAGGAGGAGGAGGATGAGGTGCTCCAGGTAATAGAGCAAGGATCCACACCAGTGGTCACAGGTCCCCACACTGGAGCACCTGGACATTTCCTGAAGAAACTGTGGCCCATGCAGAGCCCCTGCAACACAAGGTTTATCCTGAAAGACTGCAGCCCTTTTAAGGGGCCCCATGACAGAACAGGTGATAAGTGTGAGTAGGATGGAGCAGCAGAATAGAGCTGGTGGACTATTCCCATGCATCCTGTCTCTGGATCCCAGGGAGAAAAGATCAGCCCCTCCCCCTTGACTTTCCCTCCTCAAGAAGATGGAGAGAGCAATGAGATTGTCCTGGAGCTTCCTTTTCTCCAGGCTAAACAATCCCATCTCCCTCATTTGCTCCTCATAAAACAGAAGTGGCCCCAAGACTGAGCCACAGGGAGCCCCACTGGCGACCAGCTGCCAGCTGGATGTAACTCCATTCTCCACCACTCTTTGGACTCGGACAGACAGGTTTTTACTCAGTGAAGAGGACACCTGACCAAGTCATGAGGAGCCAGTTTCTCCAGGAGAATACTGTGGGAAATGGTGTCAAAGGCTTTATTAAACTCCAGGTAGGCAGTATCCACAGCCTTTTCCTCATCCACTAAGGGGGTCACCTTGTCATAGAAATAGGTCAGGTAGGTCAATCGGAACCTGTCTTTTGCAAATCCCTGCTGGCTGAACCTGATTCCCTGGCTGTCCTGCATGTGCCACTCGAGATGCTCCATGACCTTTCCTGGCACCAAGGTCAGGCTGGCAGGGCTGTATTTCTTCTTGCTGTCCAGTTCTGAGTACCAGAGACTCTTGTATGTCCTCCTGGATTCAGCTGTGAGTGGTGCCTGCAGAGGTGCAGGGGGTTGTGCTGCATTATGTGCTGCAACAGGTGCTTTCCATTTCCTACCTCTCACATGGTTCTTTCACTAGGAGGTTATGTTTCTGTATGTTGACAGAAGAGCTGTATTGCACACCCAGCACCCAATATATTCCTCAACAGGAGGGCTGAGAGTAGACCTTTGTTTCAAAATAGACAGTAGTGTTTTAGGGCAGCAGACCATATGGTCCTCCAAAGCCTATTTCTGTAAGGTTTTAAAAATAATCAGACACTCTCTTATTGTTCATATGTAATTACACAGCACCTTTCAAATGTCTTCTCTTGGAAAATTGTGTCCAGTCACCTTGCAGGCCCTCTTTTTACATGCCCAGTGTTGACTTTGAATATTTATTTTGCACTACAACCACTGTTTTAAACAGGCAGTCTGTCTGCACAATGTAATGTCTTTGCTATGAGGGCAGGGAGTGTATTGCATCAATCTGTCTCGCTTTCACTCCTAAGTCTTCTTTACCTGTTGCAGTCTCTTTATTCAATAAGCCAGAGGCCACATTAGGCGAATCTTTTTCCTTGAGTCACAGTCTCTGAACCCAACGTTAGCTGTGGTTTTCACCCTACCAGTCCCTCCCTAGTGAGTAAGGGTGGGGAGATAAACACCACTTAGCTAATATGCTTTGTGATCTTGTCAGTCCTTGTGACAAGATAACTAACACTGTGTTATTTTGCATGTCTATATTACATGTCAAAAATAAAGTTAAAATAGCCTGAAGAGCCTAATTTGAATCTCCCAGCATCAGAAAATTCAGCATGAAGACTGAATGCTATCCTTTCAAGAATATACTGAATTCTACTTCACATCTCTATTCAAAATATGTGCAGTAACATCTAACAGACCTCATCACATTGGCAATGAAGACAGAGGAAGTTGTGCCCCATCCAAAGGTGCTAAAGGCAGGCTTGGTGGATATAAAACCATAGAGTTTTTATCATATATAGCAGACTGTCTGCTAATAATTCATGGGAATCAGAGAATGAGAAATTATTAGAAAGATTGGGGGTTTTTTTGTTGTTGTTTTAACTTATTTAAATTCAATGTATTATACAAAAGAGATTTGAGTGCCTTCATGGCATTAATTAAAAATGTTAGTAACTTCACAGAGCCTGAACTTCAGAAAGCTCACTGCTTTGAAAGATTCTATCAGTATAAAAATAAATTCTTTATACTTAAAATGGAGAGCATAATAAAATCCATAAGGATATTGCCTTGCCTAAAGGCGATTGTGAGTGGTAATCTTCTGTTGATTCTGTTGGTGCCAGTATTTCACTTGAGGACTCAATGATAGGGAGTGGGAAGGAAATTATTTGTTTTATCCCAGAGGAGGTTTTGAGATATTTATTTTTTTCCTTGTGCAGCAGAAAGAAAACTGATATCCTGAAAATTTTCAAGGTCTGATAATCTGAAAATTATGAATCATTTAATTTTTAAGTACCTTTTTAGAGGAAATTAGTAGGAATTATTGAAAAGAAATGTGTAAAAAAATCGCAAAGTTCATATTTTTAATTTTTGTGTTCTAAAACCACTGAAAGGGAGATTTCCTATCAAAAAAGGTGATTAATAAATATATTTCAAGCAAAATTTAGGGTCAAATAGCTTATCACAGAAATTGGAAAGGACCTCTGGATCCAACCCTCCTGCTCAAGCAAGGCCACCATGTCCAGGCAGTTTTTGATTACTGAAGGATGGAGACTCCACCAGCTCCCTGGGCAACCTGTGCCAGTTCTCAGTGAAAAAATATTTCCTGGTGTTCAGGTAGAACCTCCTCTGTTTCACTTCGTGCCCACTGCCTCTGGTTCTGTCCCTGGGCACCACTGAAAAGAGCCTGGCTCTGTCCTCTTTGCACCCTCCTTTTGGATATTTGTACACATCAGTGAGATCCCTCTTGACTCTCTTCCTCTCTGGCTGAGCAGCCCCAGCTCTTCCAGCCTTTTCTAACAGAAGAGACGCTCCACTTCCTTCATCATCTTAGTGCCAGCCCTTTGCTGGCCTCTTTTCAAGTAGCTCCATGTCTTTCCTGTACTGATGATCCCGGAACAGTTCCCAGCAGTCCAGGTGTGTCCTCACCAGTGCTGAGTAGAGGAGAAGGGTCACCTCCCTCCACCTACTGCCAAGG